TATATATATATATATATATATATATATATATATATATATATATATATATATATATATATGGTTCATGGTTCATGGTATCTTTCAGGCGTCAGCTTGATGATGCTCTGGCAAACATCACGTTTTAACATCCAACTACATAATATATTCTCCTGTGCGCGTCAAAACGTTACCTTACTACTTTACTTCCATGTACTAACTGTGGTATTGTGAATCGTGATCCGAACCAAAGCGTAAACACCCTATGGGATTTGAAAAAACGAAGTCTTTGTAAGTTATATCCCATGATAAAAATTTGAATTTGAACGGATGTTTGTTTTTTCCCTTATTTGTAGTTGATTGGAAACTCCTCCTCCACGGGGAACCCGTTGTCCGAGGTGTTTTCTACCGGTGTATTCAGTGTCTGAGCTGAGCCGCATTAACCAGTTGGTTCGACACTCCAAAGAGGGTTTTATTTGCGGCATTTTTATAGCGCTATTGGCACCCACAAACTCGGATCGTATTACCTGAAATCAACCTCCTGCCGTGTATTACGCACTGGTGGTCGCCGTGGGTTGCATGTGAAAGTTTTCCCACTAACGAAAAGGTAACCTCTGGGGCTATAAACGGGTTGGTGCACCAACGACAGTTCGCCTAGAAGAGTTGGCTAGAAACCTTGATTGTAAACTAATCAAGAAGAGGCGGACGAACCACACTTACACATAACTTTCTGGCCATGACAATGGTCATCGACTCGATTGACAATCCAGGTGCATAAGACACCTTTGGTGTTTGATCCCGTCCAAAGCTTGTATGATCCGATGAACTGAACACCGACCCGCAATCGATTGCGGTTTTCGCACACACCGCCCGCCGCTGCCTTGCGGGTTAGGCTTTGGCTAGTCGAAGGCTCCCATTTTGAACTCCCCAATGAAATTCACTTGTCGTGGTCTGGGAATTTGGCAGTATTCAGCCAATAAGGAAACCATGGAACGCTTTTCTGGACATAAAGATTATTGTACAGTGACTTGTTTGACACATAGTTCAGCTTTGAACGTGTGTGAAATACCTTGTGATTATTATGGTCACATTTTCATCATGCTTCATCTTTGAGCTGATTGCATGGAAAGTGTGTGTGCCTGTGTGTCTGTGTTATTACTGTGTCAATCACTTTCCACCCCACCCCACCCATCTCTTTTGATTGACCAAAATAATCAATTCAGATGATGTCCTTCATAAGAGTCGGTTAGTTTATCGGGGCTGGCATCAACGACTCGTTTGATCCGATGAAGCAAGCTGCATGGTCGCAGATTATACTCAATGACAGTATTCTAAATGGCTGGGAAATGGACGGGTAAAAAGTGGCGATAGGTACTCGTGTGTTACGGAGACTCACGGGACCCGTCGATCTGAATCGGCCATTCCGACCTGTTTGCACAATCGAACGGGTCCGAAACAGTTTGTTAAAGACCCTTTCGCCCCCCCCCCCCAAATAAACTTAGTTGATCATTCATAGCAAACTCCACTACGCAGTGAACATTTCACCAGTTATTACAGTTCAAAATTAAAGCATGAATTGCATCACTGTGATTTGCTAATGTGAACTAAAATCTCACTCCACATCACATTCTTCTTCTGTTGTCTTTGCCTGCCATTTTTGTTTCACTTTGGCCTATACTATTATCCTGTAGTTGACCAGTTGATGAAGCAGCGACCATGAGTCCGCGTTCCCACTTTGTCATCTAATGCTATCAGCGGGTGTATTCACTCAGTTTCCTCATTCTTTTTTACGAAATAAAGATTCGATCAACCAGCTTCACGTGTTGTATAAACAGGGAAGGCGAACCGATTTCAGATCAGTGCAGTTCAGTTCATAAACCATTAACCCTGTACTTTAGTGGGCCAAGTTTTGGTTGCCCAATAGGATAAAACAACAGAATGAAGATAATAATGTTGACAGCAGATTCAAGCGGAAGATAGTGTATTGATAGAGACTGAAGTTACACAAATAATGAGCGCTACTGTTTACGACACTCCGCCATATCACTCAGTATCTCTAACCATCGGGTACGATCATCCCGAGATCCTATCCAGGGAGCCTAACGGGACCTATGTGACCCAGTACCCTCGTGCCAGGTCTAAGCTTGGCCACTCTGGGCTTTACCCCACCCACTACCTGCATCGGCAAACATCGCTCGCCGTGGTAACCTATTTGGTGACATGCGTAACACATGTCCTAACCAACGTAATCATTGGCCGGTAGTTAGATTCGGAAGAGAGAGAGAGAGAGAATGAAAAGAATACAGTTCGCAATATAAGAGAAAGAAGTAGTAATGGTGTGTGAAACCAAATCGAACAGACAATCACCACAGGTCAGTCAGCTCACTTTGAACTTTTGCAGATTAGCTTTTCGTTCGGCCGGATTACGATCGCTATGCAAACACACGCAACTGAATGCGGCGCCACGATGACTTGGTCCTACAAATCAAAGACGAAACAAAAAATAACGAGATATTATCAAACACGAAACGAGCAAAAGACTGGTCCAATGAGTCGGCGGTAAACAGTGACGAAGATATCGACTTTAGGGACCAGAAGCAATGCGCATGAATGGGTTCAGCCCTGTGGGAGATNGGAGATGATGTTGATGCTGCCTCCTGTCACACAAATTGTTTAATTAGCCCGTGAACGAATTTTTTGGAGACGGACCTTCTAAGACGGTTGTGCCAGTGTACAGCATTGGAGGTGAGTGAGGGCATTGGAAAAGCATTTGTGTAAATAATTACACCAAAGTTGAATACACTGAAATGAGTGAACCTAGGATACACTTTGGGTACCTTGAAACTGCTTCATCTGTCCAAGCCTATTACACCTGCATTCAATTGCACAAGCAAAGGATGACAGACACATTGAGACAGAAACCATAGTCAACGCCAAACAAAACTGCAAGGCCATTGAGTGCACCGCATCGATCACGGTCACCTGAAACCAATTCAAGAATACCCAACTGCACATCAAAAAAGACTGGGGAAAAACATATCGAATAGGTCTGCCGAGATGCCATCCGCTTTCCTGATACGGAATGGAAACGATGGAAAGATCATCTAGTTAATGACAGACTGTTCAGTGGACACAAGAGGAAATAGTAGTACGTTCTCTTCTGATTGAATAGTGCAAGTTGAAGCGAAAAACATCGCGCAATTGAAATAGCCCGTGGCAGTCAACTTTCGATGAGATACAAATACCAAGTCGATTCGAAGTGTTCGGGTACAACTTAAACCAAGTTAAGTTAATGTATAATTAACAATAATCAACACTCTTCCTTAGTAGCGCCGTTCACCTGCCACTGCTTGGCAGCGAGCTTAATTACCGCTACAAGTGCTACAAGTAAGCGAGATTACCGAGAACCGACATGGAAAGGTCCAACACTAGTTGCCCACGATCTAGATAGTAGTGGGAATGAGAATTTATGAGGGAATTCTTCTAATCAAAGACAGAGAGATAAACGTGAAATGTGTTTAAGAAAAGTAGAACTGGTTTCTTTCCATGTTCTCCGACAGTCATGTTCCTAAATTCCTAATCGGAGGTTCGACCGGTAGCTTGAGACAGAAACAGGTTACACTTTTCCTGTTATGACAACCAGCAGTTCACAGACGAGGCGGAAAAAAATCCGGCACTGAGTGAAAACGAGTGCGCATTGAATTATTTAGATCGTGAGACACTTTACCAAGTCGTTTGTTAAGTACAGCTTGTGTGTGTGTGTGCCATATGCCGGTGGGAAGCCACTTAGGTCTGTGAATAGTAATAGCAAATACGATGGTCACAATAAAACGTCTACATCCCCGATGCAAATCATTGCATTTCATCCGAACACCCATATGGGTATGGATTTGTATTGATCACTGATCAAATTTCAACTGAAAAGAAAAAGTGCGACCGAACGAGATGAAAAAGCCTACGATACTGAGAGTGGTAAAAAGAGTGAACTATACAGTACTGGGCGGTGAGCAGTTCAAAAGATAAGCACTATAAGCGCGACAATTTACAATTCACTTCTGATAGTTGGCACGGGAACCATGAAACCGGGAGTGGAGAATTGCACGAAACAGAAGAAGACAGTGCAGTCATCCCCTACTAGTCCGTGGCATGCATGATGGTAGTGCAATGATTTATTTGCTGTCACAAGCGTGGTTTGAACCCTATGGTCCGAGGTTCAAGCCCCGCCGCCACCACCCAACTTCGGTGGTAGGCAGCTTTGCTGTGGGCCGGTTCAATACCACACCTAACCTATCGGGGCCTTATGCGGTTCGCAACTCCAAGTCCCGCGAGGCTTAGGTTACTGGTTTCCATTACTGAACAGCAGATCCTCGTGACTATGGGAGTTTCTCCGTCTGCTGTTCATCACACGAAAGTGTATATTAAAAATAACTAATGAAAACGCCTTAAGCCGATGGATCACGAACACTATACAAGTGTGTACACAACCAGGAATCATTTCACTAGGTAAAATACACAAAGTTTGAATGAAAATCCAATTCCCGCATCAGTGCATCTAGCTCGTTAAAGAGAGAGGGTGAACAACGCTACCATGATGATCGACACAAATTTACTGAATGACAAGTAACACATTTCGTTTGCGTAAATGATGGATAGTCCATCAAATTTAAGCCTCCGAAAGCCTCAGTATGGTCGGGGGTGGATGTCTAGGGTTCTGGCTTGTCACCCCTCTGTTGCACCTCGCGAAATGACCACGCGTCCCAAATAGCCTATGCTGAGGAAACCTACTCACAGCCTTCTCGTGGAGGTGTTTCCCCACCAAAGAGCGATGATGAATAGCCCACAACCGGGGCTATAACCGGGTTGGTGCACCACTGGTAGTTCACCTAGGGGAGTTGGCCAAAATCCCTGATTCAAAACTAATCAAGGGAAAACACGAACCACACTCACACTTTTTCGGTTGCGGCAGTAATCACCGGCTCGATTGAGCATTGAGGTGTATTGGGCACCTTGGACGTCTGACCCCGTCCGAAGGACGTATGATCCGATGAACTGGACATCGAACCCCTATGAACTGCGGTTTTCACACACCGCCTCGTTACCTTGCGGGTCAGGCTTTGGCTAGCCTAAGACCCCGGATGTGGATTCCTCGAGAAAATTCACCTGTCTTGGCCTGGGCAACCTGACAGTATTCGGCCTACATGCAATTCATGGAACGTTTTTCTTTTTTTTATAGAGATTATTGTACCATGATTTGTTTGGCATAGTTATTAGTTCTAAAAACTGAAATTGAAACTTGGCATACAGTCAGGCTCCAGACGTGTCTGAAAATACTTAAAAATAAAAATAAAAATCACTGCATCTCGCTCGTCAGAGAGTGAACGCAGTTGGATGGTCGAGACAATTTACTAACTGACAAGTTACACATTTAGTTTGCGTCAATGATGAACAGTCCATCCCATTTAGACCTTTGTTCTTCAAAAATCTTTCTCTTTGCAGCACACACAAGGAACCGCAAAACAATACATGCCTGATGGGATCGCGACACCTTTCACAGTCATTAGTATTTGGTCAGTAAATCAGACGCAAAAACAATTATGGACACAGGTTATCGGTTTATCCACCGGACAGCGTGATCACTGACGTCAGCCGGAACCACAGATGAGGGTTGGTGCAATGCTAGAGAGCGTGGAAGTACAATGTGTCTGTGTCAGCTCAGACGTGTGAATCCTGCCCGAAGCCCTTTACACCGCCACTTCATAAGTGGTTTATTTAGAACGGTGATTTACAACCTACCAATACACCGCTAAAGCTCAAATCATTCATAGGGACTGTGTGCTCGAGTGTAATATCCTCATTGCCTTCTTTTATACCAGTCACATGAAATGTCGGCGAGCATACAGAAGGCTCGGTTGGCATTTGCCAACTTGAGACATTAATGGCACAGTCGCGACACCCGGTTGTCTGTGGGGGCTCGAGCATTTATGCTGTAACAGTTCAGCCAGTCCTGCTCTACGGTGCAGAGACTTGGTTACTAGGGTAACAGGATAAAAATGAATTGCTGATGTTGTCTACGTCACATTGAACGAGTCTGATGGAGTAACCGGACGAGCAATGCTGAGGTTAGGCGTAGAGTTTTAGGCAGTCGCGGTCGTCCACTGGAGCAAGTGATTGATCCCAGTGGACATGTGACATGTGCTACGCATGTCACCAAATAGGTTGCCACTGTGAGCGATGTTGGCTGAGGCAGGTAACGGTTGGGAAAAGGTCAAGGGTGGTCAAATTAAGACCTGGCACGAGGGTATAAAAACCCTGACCAGGAGTTTGGGTCACATAGGTCCCATTAGGCTCCCTGACTAGGGACCCCGAGATGATGTTCACGGATGGTTGGAGGCGCTGAACGTTATGGCTGGGTATCGCAAACAGTGGAGCTCGAGCATCTACTCAGTATTCTCCATACCATTCTATATGAATTCTCTATATTCTGTTTGAATTGGCTTTTAACATTCTAATCTTCTGCTCTTTTATCCAAATAGGGCGTCAAAAGACAGCAACCAAAACCGGGGCACAGAAGTGCATGGTTAATGGTTGTAACAACTGAACAAAAAGCCGATCTCTGGTAAAACGATGTCAATCAAACTTTCGTATCGAAGTGAAAACTCACCACCACCCATAGAGATGAAATATTGTTCCAAGTTATCACAATCCAGTTTGGTTCGGCAGAAAATGATGGCTCGATCCATTTGTTGCTGTTTGATTGCCCGGACTACATATTCGCCTTTGAGGATTTTCACCGCCTCAGACATGGTTTCTATATATATATATATACACATGGAATGGAAAAGAGACAGTAAAGACTGTGAGGACTGAGCAGGTTAGAACCATTAACAATGAGTGAACAAATCAAGGGCTGGCAGTGACTTACCAGCAGAAGAGTCGTTTGGACCACAACCATCTTTCATGTGCACCCCGTCTGTTTGAATATGCCTTCGGGTTTGCATCAGCGATTTCCACGACTGGTCTGCGATCGGATCGACATGACACACCTGATGAGTGAGCGACAGGAACGAGAGTTAGGTGATGGGAATGCCGAGCAAGGGGATGAAGGCAGGGGTGACCAGGGGAAAGAAAAACAACCACTAATCAATAGGGAAAACAAAATAGTTGTAGAATAAAAAATTCGGTCATATTAGTTCGAAAAGAACGATCTCCAACCTTTTCATTTGTTGTACGGGTGTTGTCCACTTGCGATTGAAAGGATATTGTTTCACAGAAAAAGATAGGAAAATAAATTTGAATCATTAAAGCAGTAAAACTTATCACCACATATGTTGTTTTCTCTCAGTCTTGTTCGAACTCATGACTCCCAGGTGGTTATTTCGAGGACAGTATCACTGGACTACTGCCACTCATATGTATACTGTCATGGATATCGATAAAAAACTTTTTAGCTCAAGTTTTATTCGCTCTGTACACGACGAAATTCACCAGGTTCTATTCTATCCGATTGAACAAACAATGATGAGACCAATTCAGTTCAATCTATCAATGACAGGCTCCATGAAGCGGAAAGGTTTCATACACAAACAATGCAGTCATGGAAGAATTGGGATCGAGTAATCCAGTTTTTCAAGGAGCAATGGACAAAATCGGGGACAGAAATGCATGAATGAGAGAAGGATGAGAATGGCGAATCCAACACTCTGACGTCTTCTTCAGAATATTGTTTTCAAATTTGGCATTCACGGTGATGAACTAGCATAAAGAATTTCAGTATTTGGGTTTTCCCAAGTGTACAGTTATGTGCTAGATACATCTGAAACTCATTTGCTGTATGAGATAAGAATTTCAATTTGTTATAGCTACGGACGACAGTTTCCATAGTTTATTCGGAGTTTAGTGTTGAGCAGTAGTCATGTAAGTGAGAACGAGCGAAAATAATAATAATAATAGTATTTTAGTTGGGTTTTTAATCATTGGTCAATACGTTCAGATCGGGCAGGAAACCAGACACAAAAAGACACATCCGGGAATTTGTATGTATGCAATAAAGACAGGCAAACAGGTTCTTGAATTTCGAGCGAGTGCTTTAAGTTGAGTCTATAACAGATCACGAGAAGACTGAAAGTGGTGGCTTGGTGTTAACATCACCAAATTATGACCTCGGAAGACGTGTGTTCGATTCCCACCACCATCATCACCACCACCGTTTGACTTTCCCCATTTGTGTGTGTGTGTGTATTGTATGGAAGCCCTTTGATTGGTCGCTTCCCTCTTACTGAAAATTGGATCATTCTGAGTATCCAGTAAATGGAAGTAAACGTGAACAGTGGCAAAGACAGATCTGCTTCTTAGATACTTCTCTCCAGGCCTGACCAAGCAGGGTCTTATGTGGTTCGCCCACTCTAAGTCCCGCGGGGCTTAGGTTACCGGTTTCCATCACTGAACAGCAGGTCCTCGTGACTATGGGGTTTACCCCGTTTGCTGTACATCACACACACACATACACACAAAATACAGAGCGAAGTGGCACACGTAATGATCCGTATTGTGTTTTGGTGCACTTATTGAGGCGGTTGATGTTGGCAACTATGCCCGGGTACCCTGATGGATGGAGAAATGACAGCATGGATAAGTTAGAGGCAGTGATAGGAATTTAAAAGCGGTACGAATCAGTTTGCGGTCGTTCACACGTAGAAAAGAAAATATTATCGGGGAAGAAAAAACAGGTAGGGTTAGACACAAGCATATACACAAACTGATTGACCAGATAGAAAGGCGAGGGAGGGAAGCATCGAATCGGGTTTGAGGTCTATAACAGCGGGAGGAAAGCCTTCTTAATTAGATGTGCACAACTTGCATCATGAGCTGCTTCGCTGCTGTCCGCATCCAATCAATTCTACGTCTATCACAGTGCGACTCATCGCTTCAATTCGACCAAGAAACTTCGGTTGCCGTTTGTCATGAGTAAACAAAAGGTTTTCCTATCCGTGGTGGTGGTGATCAGAGGAAGGGGCATACTCTTCGACGAAAAGGACAATCCATGAAAAATTGAGGCGAGAACAATCACAAGTTCATCGAAGTCTGTGTGTGTGTGCGTGGTCATGGGAACTAATTGAGTCTAGGTGCATACACACCCACACCTAACCACCCACACACACACACACACGATAAGTAGTAGTAGTAGTAGTGGTAGGAACCAGTCAATTTTCCGAAATTAGCTGACAAGCTATTCAACTACCGATATGTGCAGTGTTGGTGGAATACGCACGCTCTCAGACTCGATGGAACCGGAATGAAAGAACTGACACAGCGAAAAGAAACATGACCGATCAACCAGCCAAAAAGAACAGTCGTGTCGAAACGAATCAAATCAGACTGCAGCGAGTGGCGAAAACAACAAGGTGCTCGCCTTTGAAACTTGCGCGCGGGGTTTGGGTGGGGGAACCACCCATACCAACACTCGCTTTCTGTTTGTTTGTTTTTTTCTTTGCGTATCACATGTACGGTGTGGTCTATAGGCACTGATCCGTTGATACCCCGAGATTGATTCGCGTGTGCGTCTCATCGCATGTGCTATACTTTACCGGAGAAAAAGATCAATCCCAAATGGACGTATGTGTGCATCTTCATTCATTTCCGCTCGTACTGGATAGGAGAAAGAATGTAGTGGAATTTAGTCGATCAATCAATCAACCGGTCAGTCAGTATCGATCAATAGAAAAGATATACTTACCACATGATGCACCGTCTCTGGTACACTATCTTGTCCTTTCAAATCGATCCACACAGGGAAGTGCATCAGTTTGTTCTAAGAAAATGTAATATAGGTTGTCGGCAGTCGATCAGAGCACACACGGTCATACGAGGTGGAATGTGTTCGGGGCAGAGCGTGTCCGNCGGGTAGGAGGTGAGAAGAAGTAGAAAAATAGCAACCAGTAACGGATGTGGAAAAAACCTGTATATAATAAAATTCAGGGCTTATGAATCACACACCCAGATTGTGAATTACAGGTTTCTAAAAAAAGATACGCAAACTGTGGCATCACTATGTCGGACTGAGGCACACCAACCAAATTCATGTTACGGACCATGTGTACGTATGTGTATGGTAAATCAACTGAAGTCAGAAAACCACATGGAAGCACAAATTTGTGAAAGGATACCTGCTTCTACTTGTCCTAGACATCTGCCTCAGACAAGCATAAGACAACCAGGACGAAATTTGACCGCATGCCTACCCTGGAATCATATATCCCTCAATCACCCATTGGGCTTTCTGGACTTCAAACGGTACAAAAGCCAACTAGTTCAATTACAGCACATCTATTGCTTGAAACAGTAACCGGG